TTCTCCAATTATTATGCAAATTAGAGGTAGACTATACAGTAAATAGATGAATAAAAATAACTTGAACGAAGCTTCGAAGCAAGTGGTTTACATAATGATTATTTTTTTGATTGATTGATTGATTGGTGTTCTATAAATTGTTTTTATTCTGATAATTGGATGATTAATGAAGTGATTGATTGGTTGACAGATTTGTGAATGGTCAGTTGATTGACATTATTGATTTATTAAGTAATTATCTAATTGTTTGGTTGGCAGATTAATTGATTGATTGTTTTTTTTTGTTTTTACAGATTGATTAAGTAAGTAAATGACTGATTGATTGGTCGACAGATTGATTAGGTGATTGATTAAGTGACTGATTGTTTTATTGACTGACTGACCCTCTTATTGATTGTTTTATTGACTGACAGTCTTACGGATTGTTTCACTGATTGATTGACTGTCTTACTGATTGCTTTATCAATTGACTATCTTACTAATTGTTCCATCAAATGACTGTCTTACTGATTGTTCCATCAAATGACTGTCTTACTGATTGTTCCATCAAATGACTGTCTTACTGATTGTTCCATCAAATGACTGTCTTACTGTCTGTTTTTACTGACTGACTGCCTGCTTTGGCGGCCTTACCTGCGGGGCGTTGGTCGTGACAAGGAAGGCATTCGTGCGACCGGGGTGATCGTAGTCGTGCATGGCAGCGGCCGTGTAGAGTGCCATAAGCTCCAGCGCGGGTAAGTTGGCACCCAGGATGCCATAGGTGTCCTCGGCGGTGAAGCTTTGGCGGTGGATCAGCCGGGGGGAGCCGCAGACCTCATCTGCGGAGGCCGGTCGGGTTAGCGGAACGCCCTCGCTCCCCGTCTATGCATATGTATGTATATACTTATGTATAGACACACACACACACACACATATATATATATATATATATATATATATAATATAAATGCAATATAATATTAATATGTGTGTGGTGTGTATGGTGTTGTGCATGTGTGTGTGTGTGTGTGTGTATATATATATATATATATTATATATAATATATATATATATATATATATATATGTATATATATATGTATGTATGTATGTATGTATGTGTGTGTGTGTGTGGTGTGTATGTATATGATATTCATATGTATATTTTGCGTATATACATATGAATATATTATGTATATAGATATGTGTGTACATTACATGCACACACACACACACACACACATATGTTATATATGTATATATATATTAATTACACACACACAACATATAATATCTATATGTAATGTAATGTGTATGTGTGCGCACTTACAAATATATAATGCCTATCACACACACGCAGCCCTCACCGTGCTTGTCCGTTGGCGAGACCGGTTCCGGAGGCAGCATGATGAAGCCCGGGATCGGTTGGGAAGTGAGGTAGTAGACGGAGTGGAGAACATCGGAGGCGTGGGTTCTGTTGTGGTCTGCGGAGGGAGGAGAAGAGGAATATGAAAGAAATAGAATAAATAAAGAAAATATGAAAGAGAATATGAATATAAATATATGAAGATAATATGACAATAAAATATGATAATAATAAAGATAATAAAAAAATATGAAGAGAATAAATAAAGGAAATATGACAGTTTTTTTTTTTATATATATATAAGGAATATAAAAGAAATGTGAAAGGTATGGCAAGTTTTTTTTCTTCTTTCTTTTTCTTTGTGGCGGATCTGTTGGCAGTTCTTTTTCAAAGATTGATTATTGTTGTTTTTGATATACATAATATGTGAAATTCAAAAAAAATTTATATTTTATTATTGTATTCTATTGGTTCTTCTATTGACTCCTCCATTCTTCTCTCCTCTTCGCTTCTCTCTCTCTCTCTCCTCTCTCTTCTCTCTCTCTCTCTCTCTCTCTCTCTCTCTCTCTCTCTTCCTGTTTTCTCGTTTTCACCTTCTTCTGCTCCACAAGTGATTCCGTAATACCCTTTAAGATAAACGAAAAAAAATGCGAATTTTTAAAAATCTGTGCATTTATCTACTACCTCATCTGCATTGCAATTTCAATTTTTGAAAAGGTAAATAGGAGACAGAGGATGAGAAAGAGAGAGCGTGAAGGAGAGAGAGAGTGAATAAATGCGTGAGTAAGAGAGAGAGAGAGAGAGGAGAGAGAGAGAGAGAGAGAGAGAGAGGAGAGAGAGAGAGAGAGAGAGAGAGGAGAGAGTAGTTAGATAGATAGATAGATAGTAGATAGAGAGAGAGAGAGAGAGGAGAGAGAGAGAGAGAGAGAGAGAGAGAGAGAGAGAGAGAGAGAGAGAGAGAGAGGGGGGGAGAGAGAGAGAAAAGGTAAATAGACAGAGGATGAGGAAGAGAGAGTTGAAGGAGAGAGAGAGAGAGTAATAAATGCGTAAAGTGAGTAGAGAGAGATAGAGATAGATAGATAGATAGATAGAGAAGATAGATAGATAGATAGATAGATATAGTAGGATAGATAGAGAGAGAGAGAGAGAGAGAGAGAGAGAGAGAGAGAGAGAGAGAGAGAGAGAGAGAGAGAGAGAGAGAGAGAGAGGAGAGAGAGGAGAGAGAGAGGAAATAGAGAGAAGAAAGAGAGAGTGAAGGAGAGAGAGAGAGTGAATAAGAGAGAGAGAGAGAGAGAGAGAGAGAGAGAGAGAGAGAGAGAGAGAGAGAGAGAGAGAGAGAGAGAGAGAGAGAGAGAGAGAGAGAGAGAGAGAGAGGAGAGAGAGAGAGAGAGAGAGAGAGAGAGAGAGAGAGAGATAGAGAGAGAGAGAGAGAGAAATTGAGATAAATAGATAGATAGATAGAGAGAGAATGAAAGAACGAAAGAAAGAAAGAAAGAAAGGGATAGAAAGAGAGAGGTAAACAGATATATAGACACAGACAAATAAATAAAGAGAGACAAAGCACTCACAAGGGATTTCTCTGTATCCGAGCTCAAGAGCATGGAAGTAGTTGAGGAATTCCTTCGTCGGTATCTTAAAGGTCTCGAAAAGTCCGACTTCGGAGAACACTTGGTAACACAGCTGTGGAAAAAATAATTGATTAAGAAAAGAAATGAAGAGAATAGTTTATATTTATTGATTTTTCTGTTTATTATGTATTGATATATGTATTATTATTATATTATTATTAATATATATTATTAATATATCTATTTTATTCATTTATCATTTTCTTTAAGAAGGTGTACCTCCAGTGCATACAACAATCTAAAAATATTGTAGCTTGAATTAAGGTTTTCCAAGGCGTGTGACATGTAACAATATGGAAGAGAAAGAAAATAAACAAATCTAACATGTTTATTGATGAAGATTTTCCCGTTTAATTTTACAGAAAGTGATATATCAGTCAATGATGATCATCCATTAAAATCTTCCCAGTTTTTTTTTATCCAGATATTAGCGTATTTCACAAAATACTGTCAGCCTCTATTCTTCGGAAACCTGCAGTAAATCAATTCTCAGGAAAGGGGTAACTGACAACTCAACCCTGTACTCTGGAGATATCCGATTCGTTTAATTTCTTTAGAGAAATTAAATAAATGAGAAATAAAGTTGCGTTCACATGTTTTCTTGTAGTTTAACAAATACATATATTTCTATCTTTAATTAAAAGGAACAAGGGGAGATGGGGCCAAAGGGCAGGAGCAAGGGGAGGGGCGGAGCCAATGGGAGAAGGAGGGGCAAAAGGAGATGTGGTAGCAAGGAGGAGGAGCAAAAGGACGGGCAATGGGAGGAGCAAGGGGAGGGGGTGGAGCCAAAGGGAGGAGCAAGGGGAGGGGTGGAGCCAAAGGGAGGAGGGGCAAAGGAGAGCTAAGGATGTCACGCCATCACCCCCCCCCTCCACCCTCCATCCAGCATCTTTGACCCCCTTAATTATCTGAATAAAACGTACCTGACTGAGTATTAAGTTGCCGGCCATATCCTGGAGATCGAAAATTGGATAATCCCACTCCGATATCCGGTTGAGAAGAGGGTTTTCTTGAAGGAGGTCGAGGTCAAAGGTCGCTCCATCTTCTGGTAACACGAAGACGCCGTGAGAAATCACCTGAGGAGAACAGGGGAAAGAATTAGTGTGTTGGTTATACAGGTAGGTCAGGTTGGGTTGGGTTGGGTTTAGATTACACTGAATTAAGTTAGGTTGGGTTGGGTTGGGGCACTTTGGGTCAGGTCAGGTCAGGTTGGGTTAGGCCAGGTTGGCTTAGGTTCAAGTCTAAGTTCTTTTGGGCTAGGTTAGGTTAGGTTAAGTTGGCTTAGGTTTAGATTACTTTGGGTCAGGATAGGTTAGTTTAGGTTAGGTTGAGTTGGCTTGGGTTAGGGTTAAGTTAGGTTACTTTGGCTTAGGTTAGGCTAGGTTTGGTAGTGTTCACTTTCGGTTATTTGGGTAGGCAGGTAGGTTATACAAATTGAAAAATGAGGTAGGTAGGTATGTAGGTGAGTAAATAAATAAATTAATGAATATCAATAATGGTAATGATAATAGCAATAACAATAATTATTATGATAATAATAACAATAACAAAAAAAAAAAATAATAGTGATAGTAACAGTCATGAATATGATGATGCTGACAATGGTAATGATAACAATGATAATGATAGTAATAAGAATTATTATAACAATAATCCTTATTCTCATTATTATTATTATCATTATTATTATCATTATTATTATTATTATCATTATTATTATTATTATTATTATTATTATTATTATTATTATTATTATTATTATTATTATTATTATTATTATTATTTATTATTATTTTATCATTATTATTATTATTATCACTATTATCATTATTATTATCATTTTTATTATTATTATTGTTATCATTATTATTATCATCATTTACTGATGAATGATATCAATAAAATAATAATAACAAAAACAACAATTAGAATAACAACAATGATAATGATAATAATGATAATAAAGGTAATAATAATAATAATAATAATAATAATAGTAATAATGATAACAGTAATGATGGTAATAATGATATTGATAATAATAATAATGATTATGAAAATAATAACAGGAACGTAGTATGAATAATAATTGAAATAATGATAATAATGATAGTAATAATTACAATTATAAGGATGACAATGATAATAATATCAATAACAATAATAAAAATGACAGATAATAACGATAAAAATCATAATGATGATAACAATAATAACAATAATTATAATTAATATCAGTATTTCTATCATCATTATTATAGTACTCATAATGTTATTGATCATGATGATAACAATTGTAATAATACTAATAAGAATAATCTTAGAATAAAAACAACAGCAATAGTAATAATGATAATAGAGAGTAATACAGTAATAATAATAACAATGACAATAATATTGATAATGATAATAATACTAATAATAATACTGATATATGAAATAATAGCACTATTGATAATGATATTAATGATAATAATAATAATAATAATAACAATAATAATAATAATAATAATAATAATAATAATAATAATGATAATAATGATAATAATAACAATAATAGTAATAGACACAATAATGATAACAATAAAAATAATGATAGAATAAGACCAATGATGAAATATTCAAAATAGAAATCATGATTATAACAATGATAGAAAATAGTAATAATGATAATGATAACAATAATGATAATTTTAATAATACTGATGAAAATAATGATAATGACAATAATAATGATGATTTTAGTAATATTGATAATAATAATAATGATGATAATGATAACGATAATGATAATAAAGATGATAATGAGGATAGTAATGATGATAATAATGATATTAATAATAATGATGATGATAATAATAAAAATAATAATAATAACAGTAACGATAATGATAATGATAATAATAATGATGAATATGAATAATATCAATAATCATTGTTGTAATGATAATAACATAATGATAACAATAATAGTAATACTACCACTACTATTCCTGCTACTACTGCTATGACTACTAACGATGATGATGATAATAATATCAATTAATGATTTTAGTAATGATTATAATGCGAATAATCATAGTAATGCTAAAGATAATAATTAGTCATAACAATAAGTGTATATTGACAAGAATCGTTATTATCATCATCACAATCATGATCATTATGATAATAACGACAATAATAACGATGGTAAAGAAAATAATAATGGTAATGATAATGATAATAACTATGATAATAATAATGATAATTATAATGATGATAAATAATAACAATAATAATAACAATGATAATAATTATGATAGTAATTATAGTAATTTTTGAAATAAGAACACCAAGGATACTAATGAAGATAATGATGATAATTATCATCATAAGATATATAAGTAATAATAATAATAATAATAATAATAATAATAATGATAATAATGATAATAATGATAATGATAATAATGGTAAAGAAATAATAATACTGATAATAATGATAATAAAAATGACAGCAATCGTATAGATTCTAATTACGTAAATAAGTAACAACAATAATAGTAATGTTGATAATAGTAATAGTAATTATAATAATCATGATGATAACAACAACAATAATAAAAACAACAACAATAATAATAATGATGATATTAATAATAATAATAATAATAATGAAATGGTGATAATAATAACAATAATGAGGATGATGAAAATAATAAAAATTATAATAACAGTGATAGTGATAACGTATAATAGTAATTATGGTAATGATAATGATGATAATACTGATGATGATGATGATAACATTGATAATAGTAATAATAATAAGATACTAATAATACTGATAGTAATAATGATAATGATGTTGATTGGAATAGTAATAAAAGTGATAATAAAAGAATGATAATGATAATGAAAATAATAATAGTAACAATAATAAATGGAACTTTAATAAGAATTACACCAACTATTACATTCATAATAATAGTAATAATTATAATAATAATGATAATGATAATAATAATAATAATAATAATAATAATAATGATAATGATAATGATAATAATAGTAATAATAATGACAGTAACAATACCAATCATGATAATGACGACAAATATGATGATAGAATGATAATAACAATGATGATGGTAATCATAAGAATGATAATGATTGTAGTAATCATAACAGTAATGATAATGATAATGATGATAAGGATAGTAAAAATAATAATGATAAATAATAATAATGATATTCATAATAACAATAATAATAATAACAATAATGATGATGATGATGATAATAATAATAATAATGATAATAATAATAATAATAATAATAATAATAATAATAATAATAATAATAATAATAATAATAATAATAATAATAATAATAATAATAATGATAATAATAATAATAATAATAATAATAATAATAATAATAATGATGATAATAACAATGATGAATATGTAAGCCAATCATAAAAACGATAATAATGAAAGACAATGATAATAACGATAACCATAATGATGATAATGAAAACAATAATAACAGTATCAATGATATGATAAGGATAACTACGAATAACAGCAACACAACAACAACACAGCAACAACAACAACAACAACAACAACAACAAACAACAACAACAACAACAACAACAACAACAACAAACAACATACAATAATAATAATAATAATAATAATAATAATAATTAAATAATAATAATTAATAATAATGATAATAATAATGATAATAATAACAATATAAATGATAGTAAAAAGATAAAAGTATTGATAATGATAATGATAACTACAATAGCAATAAAATTAAATGATAGTGATAGACATAATAATAATTCCAGTAAAAAAAATTAATGATAATAATGATGGTAACACTTATGGTAATAATGAATAATAATGATAGTAATAATGATGGTAATGATATTAGTAATGGTTATAATAACAATAATAATAATGGAAATAGCAATGATTATGATAATGATAATAATAATAATAGTTATAACAATAAAAATAATATAATTATATCGATGTTTATAGAAAAATTATAAGGATATTGGTGATAATGATGATAATAATGATAACAAATAAACTATAATAATAATAATAATAATAATATCATATAAGAAAGAATGCTGCAATATTAATAAAACCAACAGCAGCAGCAAGAACAGAAATAGAAATAATGATAATAATAATAATAATAATTATAATGATAACAATGATAACAATAATGAGGATGATGTTAATGATAATAATAATAGTAGTAATAATACTAATGATACAAATGATAGCAATAATAGAAATGATAAAACAATAATGATGATAACAATATAAATGATAGTAATATTCATAATATCAATAATGATGATGATGATAATAGTAATGATAATGATAATGAAAAAATAATGATACCAACAGCAGTAATAATAATGATAATAATAACAATAATATTAACAATAACAGTGATAACAACATGAACAACAAAAATAATAGTAACAATGATAATGATGATAATAATGATGATAATGATAATGATAATGATACTACTACTACTACTACTACTACTACTAATGATAATTTTAATAATAATGATAATAATGATGATAATAATAATGATGATGATGATAAAGATGATAATCACAATAATGATAATAATGATAATAATAATAATAACGAAAATAATAATAATATCAATGATGATAATAATAGCAATGCTACTAGTAATAATGGTATGGCAATAACAATAATGATGATAATAATGATAATGATTATGTCAATAGATTATCCTAATAGTAATGATATAGTGGATAATAATGATAATGATAATAATATCGTCAATAATGATGAAAATAGTAATGTTAATATTAGCAATAATATGAAAAAATGAATAAATGAAAATAAAAATGATAATAATGATAATAATGGTAATAACAATAATGATGATATTGATAATGAAGATGATGATAATGATAATGATAATGATAATAACAATAATGATAATAGTAAAATTTACGATAATAGTGATGATGATAGTACGAAAATGATTAGTGAAAAAAAATAGTAATAGCAGTAATAACAATGATAATAATAATAATAATGATAATGAAAATGATAATCACGGTAATAATGCTAATAATTATCATAACGAAAATAATGATGATAAGAACATTACTACTACTACTAATAATGATAACAACAATGATATTGATAATAACAAAAATGATTTTAATAATGATGAAAATAATGATAATGGTATGATAATAATCGTTGGTGTTGCTGTAATTAACGTCATCATTATTATTATGAATATGATTATAACAGCAAAGACAACAACGATAATGATACATCTATCTATCTATCTATCTATCTATCTATCTATCTATCTATCTATCTATATATATCTACTATATATATATATATATATATATATATATATATATATATATATATATATATGTATATTATATATATATACATATATATATATATATATATATATATATATATATATATATATATATATATATATATATAAATGTGTGTATATATATATATATGTATATATATATGCTAATCTATCTATCTATCTATACTATCTATATCTATATCTATAATATATATATATATATATATATATATATATATATATATATATATATATATATATATATATATATATATATATATATATATATATATATATATAATATATATATATATATATATATATATATATATATATAATATATATATATATATATATATATAAAGAGAGAGAGAAAGAGAGGAGAAACAAGAATACAATCGATATCCTTACCTCCGAATCTGTATCATTGGGCACCTTATTAGTTTTATTATTTCCTACATCGGCCTCATTCTTAGTGTCCTCCTCCTCCTCCTCCTCCTCCTCCTCCCGCTCCTCCATCACGGCCGCCGCCACCTCCGCCGCGCCCGCGAGCCTGCCCCGGGCTGCTCCGGACGCCTCCTCGCCGGCCTCTATCGAGCACGGGGAGTCGGAGCTCTCGTAGTCCGACGTGGCGACCCTCAGAGCACGTCTTTGGTACACTATATTGGCATTTGTTGCATCAGAATTTGCATCATTGTTAAGGGTTTCTGTCTGTTTAGCACTCGACACTATGGAGTCACACACATGAACACGGATATTCTCGTTACAGTTACACTCGCACATGGGACTCAAGTCTTCCTGCGTGGTGAACGGGGGGGCCTCCGGGACGTCGTTCTGCGCCCGCGTGCAGTCCTCGCACAGCCCTTCGCACACGTGCTGGTTGGGCAGCTTCTGCAGGCGCGTCAGGCGGTCCGAGTAGGCCGTCGAGCTCTCCGAGTCGGCCCCGTCGTGCAGGCCCCTGGCGACGCGGTCCAGGTGGTTCACGTCGTAGTCGCCCAGGGGGTGCAGGGAGCACACCGTCTGCCGCTCCCTGATGGCGGGCTTCCGCGGCGCGCCCTGGTACAAGGCCGTGGTGGAGTACGACCTGTTCTTCGGGGAGCAGGTCGGGTCCAGGCGCGTCTGCGTCTCCAGGCAACAGGCGTGTGTGGGACTCCCGCAAGGCGTCACATCTGCTGAAAGGACGCGCCGTGTTAGCATAGGTCACTGCATTGTCTGAACAAAGATGAAGAACATGAACAAAAATGAACTTTTTAGGATTTCGCAGCCTGGGATTTTACTAACAAATATGATCTGCGACTGTATTAAGAGGTGGAATGTGTTCTCAAGTGCTCTAAGATAACTTCTGATTCAAGGTTTCAGCTTCAGCAAAATATCAGCACCAAAAGGACGAGAGAACATTGAAGTGAATAATCAACACAACCTTGTTTTAAAAGTCTAGAACATTATTATAACCCCTGTAAACAATAAAGAATTAGCATATTGCGAATACACTCGTATTAGACATGCAAATTATGACAAATCATTCGTGCAGATTGTGTTAGTCAGCATTATGGTCTTTTGTGATTAATGATTCGCTGTTTTCTACTTTAAGAAATTCAGTCCAATTGGTTCTTTATTGCTATAACTATATCATTATAAGAATGAAATACAAAGAAGTTTACGACAACGATAAAGAGCTGCCGCATTTTTATTCATGCACACACAGACAATTATACATATATACAGACATACATATATACGTACATGTAATATATATATATATATATAATATATATATATATATATATATATATATATATATATATATATATATATATATATATGTACATACATAATATATATACATACATATATACTCTGTCACACATACACCTCATAGGTTTACATTTTTGCACAACCACCTAAGAGGTTAGTGATTAAATACGAATCACAATCGGTCCTGAATAACACAGTGAACCATAAAATCAATTTAAGTGGAGCAGTTGTCGACTATAATCACTTTTATCTCTTGCATATATATCATACAAATCACAAGCATGTTATTCATCTCTTGGCATCATATGCTAATTAGTATGATAAGGAAGAAAAAAAGTTTTTTTTCCCATGTTTTAGTCGTCTGTTATTTGCTAATGTTACGGGACCGCGCAAACGAACATGACTGCCAACTGACACGTTGCATTATCGTCCTCTGGATCTTGACTTGGTTCGCTGGACTGGACGGCGTTCGGTTCGGATACGGCGACGGGCGCAGCAACAGGTGGAAGAACTGGGACAGGTAAGGCTAAAGGGAACTTGGGTCGAAATATCGCTACGGCTTCTTCCTCCTCCTTCTGCTCTATGGTGCAAAATAAGGTGGATTTGGCCACAGGTGCGACGTACACACAACGGTATATATATATAATATATATATATATATATATATATATATATATATATATATATATATATATATATATATATATATATATATATATATATATATATATATATATATATATATATGTATATATATATATATATATATATATATATATATATATATATATATATATATATATATATATATATATAATATATATATATATATATATATATATATATATATATACATTATGTATACATATATATATAATATATATATATATATATATATATATATATATATATATATATATATATATATATATATATATATATATTATATATATATATATATATATATATATATATATATATGCTATGCTATTACTTATATATTTGCATATATAATTAAGGAAAGCACGTGTTACCATACTGCATTTCCTATTTTTCTTACTTTCCTTCTTCTGGAGAAGAAGAAAAAACATGGAAATAAAAAGAAGTAGAATTAATAAAAAAAAGAATGCCAAGAAATTAAAATAGGATAAAAGAAAGGAAAATATTTGTGAAAAGAAATGTAAAATGAAAAAAAAAACAAAAATGGAAACAAGTAAAAAGAAAGAAAAATGAATACTAAGAAAAATGAAATAAAACTAAGGAAGAAGAAAAACAACAAAACGAAGTAAGAAAAAGAACCACAATAAAACCGATAAAAAGAAAGAACTATCACAAAACAGAACTAAGAAAGAAGAAGAAAAA